TGATGTATGTGACGTTGTTGCATTTTAATGTTTTGTTAGTCTAGCCCACGAGACGCGCCGCTGCTGCGTTCAAAATATTAGAGAAATATAGGAGCTAAATGTGGAGAAGATCTTGAATGGGTTAAAACCGAAACCAAGCCATTCACACAGAACGCATATTCAGCACATTTTTTAGACGGACAAATATGACTGCTGCACTCGCGTCTCACAGAAGAGATGTAGCCATGCAAAGTTAAAACTTTGCATGGCTACAGTGTTTTAGAAAACACGTCGCAAATTTGTGGAGGTTTATTCCTTTTCACTGTGTCTCATATGTTTTTAAATGCAGTCTGTGTGAATGGTGCTTCGGCTCTTTGGATTAAGCAATGCATAAATACATGATGCTGTTTTGTTCATAATTGTTTATGCAATTTACGAAATTATATTTGATTTTTAGGAGTTAATTTAAACGCAATGCACATTTTTTTATAGACAAAAGCTTCCTTGCGTTGACAATTTAAATGTGCTGCATTATTTTGCTCATTGCGCCCTCTTGTGGCCTCGGGAGACAAGACAAAATTTTTACTTCCTTGCGTTGACAATTTAAATGCGCTGCATTATTTTGCTCATTGCGCCCTCGGGAGACAATTAGACCTATACAATAAAGACCTATTTAATCTGCATATAAAACATTAGAAATTAGATATTTGTTTCATTTTTATTGTGTTTGATTGTTAAAACAAAAAATATTTGTTGTTTGTCTCAATAAATTGCGTTAATTATAAATACAGTGGTTAAATAAAAAAAAAAAAATCTATTGCTTTTTGTTTTAAAAAAAAGGTTATAAAAATGTCAATAATTATCGATACGAATGATATGAAACATTATATCGTTGATACATTTTTTTTTAGCTATATCGCCCAGCCCTAGATACATGCCAAATTGCCACTGGAGGGCACTATTTGTTTGAGGACATTGAAATTCAGATTTTTTTCAGATATTTAACATATCCTTTAAATATGAACTGGAAAAATCTGAAAATATGCAGCCAATCAAATTTCAGTAGGTAATAAAATTATTAAATATTTATACTTGCATAAAATTCAAGGCATTAATGTTTGCCTACAAAACCAGCACTGGCTCTGCACCCCTTTACCTAAATTCATTACTTCAGAGTTACGTGCCCTCTAGAAGCTTTTTTTTTTTTATTTGACCCTCTAACTTTTTAGGCTTGCACTCTATTCATTTACTGCTTGTTTTCTTAAAAAAACACACACACACACACTAGCTTCTCTAATCTTTTTGTATCCTATCTATTTGTTTACTTTTTATTTATTATCCAATTATCAAAAGCAAAAAAAGGTCTCTAACACTAGCTTGCTCTTTCTTTTTCTATTCTATCCGTTCTCTTATTATATAATTTAAAAAAAATTATAAAAAAAATTTAAAAAAAACTTGCTACGTGTACTGCGTTAAGCTAACTGAGACTTGTTATAGCACTTGCATATCATTGCTCTCTTGTTGATTTTGATTGCTTCCATTGTCCTCATTTGTAAGTCGCTTTGGATAAAAGTGTCTGCTAAATGACTAAATGTAAATGTAATAACTTATATAGTGAATGACAGATCACTATGATGTTATGCATGTAGAGAGTGTCTAGATAAGGCAGTGTACCGAATTTAAGAAGCTCATTTACATGTTTGCAAACTCTAGCCCGCAACACTCCTTCAGTTCCCTGCATCAACCTGTTATATGCATTACCAAGTGACAGAAAATCTTCCTGGTACTTTCATTTTTTTAATGCTTTTGAAACTCGAACACTTCAACAGGGGAGCAGAGCTGCCATCTAGAGGACCTCAGGTGAGAGAACGGATCCATATGGCAGACACTCACACACACAGACACACACACACACACACACACATCACACTCACGCAAACACACACTCACGCAAACACACACTCACTCACTCACTCACACACACACTACACTCCATTATACTTAGCGACTGACCGATATTGATTTATTTAGAACTGATACAATCCCAATTATTTGCATGTTTATTTGACCGATAAATGATATACAGAACCAATATTTATCGTTTTACTTCCGTTTTTGACATAATGATAAAAACATTACTGAACTGAACACACATTTTTATTACACTATCAATACTGTAATTTCACTCCCTCCTTGCAAACAAAACCATACTGGAACATACCTGAGCATCAACCCAGTGAGTGAGCAGGACTCATAAACAGCAGGTTTACTACAGTATAATTATATTGCATAAACAACAGAGAGAGATAAACTAAGCTGGTTTGTTTCCAGCATGTACTTGTTTAAGTCTGTCTTATTTAACTCATGTAAAGTGACGTCTTTGGGACCTGATTTTATGGACTTCAGTTTGTGTCTACTTCTTAAAGCCAAGCTTAAACTAAATATCACTAATTTATAGAACATCTCATTTGTGCATTATTGGCTGATATGTTATCAGTATATCAAAGCAAATCAAGTTACTTTACATGTAAACGCCGTTGCTGACTCATCTCTCCTCAAAACAGCCACAAGATGGCGCCATATATCGGTAGATCCAATATTACAAAACCGATATTCGATAATGGAAAAAGGCTTAAAGGGTTAGTTCACCCAAAAATGAAAATTAGGCTGTGTTTTACTCACCCCCGAGGCATCCTAGGTGTATATGACTTTCTTCTTTCAGACGAATCCAGTCGGAGTTATATAAAAAATTGTCCTGGCTATTCCAAGCTCTATCATTGCAGTCAGCAGGTGTTGCATGCATCAGTCCAAAAGAAGTTAAATAAAAAGCGCCCATCCATAAAAAAAAGTGCCTCACACGGCTCCGGGGGGTGAACAAAGTCCTTATGTAGCGAATCGATGCGTTTTTGTAAGAAAAATATCCGTATTTAAAACGTAATAATCACTTTAATGGAGCTTGCGCCAACAGTCCTACACGGAAGCAGCTCCGGGCGGATGACGTATGAGGTCGGTGTTGCGCATGCGCCGCTCAGAAGTGACGAATGCAGAAACGCAGTGGAGAGATCAAAACAAAAAAACGGCCACTAATTAGAATTACAAAACGAGTATTTGTAAAGAAGAATGTCAGAGGATTTCGATACAAGCCAAGAGG